ACGGGAAAAGACCTGAACACGCCAAGACCTGCATACCTGTACCCGTGAAAATCTACGAAAACAAATTTTATATATATATACATACACACACACACACACACACACACACACACACACACACACTGTATATATATTCTGATTGTGTAAATCAGTACTGTTCAACTTTGACAACTTTAAATGAGTGGATTTCAATTCCCTGAATTCCCAGCCAAGCATGCTGGATTCATTTTATAAAGAAAATAGTTTTAGATTCTTTCTTTTAAAGAATCGTTTGAGAACAACAGATGCTAGCTTAAAATTTTGAGGTTTAAAAGACGATATATAAGATCAGGTAGTGAAGCAAGAGGTTCCATGCTTAAGCAGAAATCTGATTAGAGTTTGTTTTAAATCAGCATATATGTCTTAACAAAAGCAATTTGAATTAAATGTAGTAAATTAAAATTACATTAGAGTTTGAAGAACTTGTTTTTAAAGATAAGGTTTTTAATGAAAGTAATTAAAGGAATGAGGCTGTAATGATGGCTCTCTTGATCAAGATGAAAGGGAAGAAAAGAGGATGACATTAGCAAGATGGAAAGACTCAGAGCAGTGATGAGTTGCACTACTACAAGATTGGAAGAACCAGGTTGGGGAAAAAATGTATTCCTGTGGTTGCTAAGAATCGACACTAACTTAAAGGAACATAGTCAATTAATCAAGAAACCTGTTTCAGACTATTGATAATTAAACCTTGTACAATTAAAATCATTATTATCGGCAAAAGACTCATAGCTGCCTTTTACCATTTTAGAACATTTCATTGCTTTTGTGATCTTTCATTAAGTGGAATATAGCGTGTGTGTTAAATATGTTACTGAAGGTAAACTGGATAAGGCTTTAAGAGGTGTGTAGTTCTCTTCTTGATATTCAGGTTTTCCTTTTGCAAGTCCTTGTTAAACAGATGACTCATCATATGACTCAAGTTCACTGTCATTTGACAGTATATTATATTGGCAGTATATTAAAGTCTTTTATATTAAGGTCCAACTATGTGAGGAAAATGTTATGGTGGATCAAGAAGTTCAAGTATAACTTAACATTGCGAAGCAGTCAGTTATGCAGGTTACATTCAAACAAGTTTAATTACTATTTTATGCTTGATCTGCTTTGGGTGGGAATTTGATGCAGATTAAAGGTGAAGGTGGGTTGATTCCAGGACACACATTGGCAATAAAAAAGTTAGAGTGTGGGGAAGAGAGAAGATTTCATGCAGGAAGCATCCCCTCCCATTCACTAAATCCCCCTCCCTGCATGACATCTCCTATTCCAGGTGTATCAAACTCGTCATCAGGCATTGTCACGTGACATGATGCAACTTTTTCCCTCTTCGCTAAACCGGGCATGAACGTGGCCAGCGCATGATATATCTGGGCTGCAACTTTGACAGCCCTGTCCTATTCCCATTCACTAAGGAAAAATAAGCCTACTTGAGGATAATTACTGATTACGCGGAAAGGACTTCCTTTTGTGCTTGAAGTTGCATTTTGTTCCTTCTCTCCTTATTCCTCTATGGTGACAGTTTTTATAGCTGTTGAATTTGCAGTGTTATGTATGAAAAACAAAGCCTTGAAAAAAGGCAACTCAACCTTTGTGTGCAGCACTTGTCTAAATGTAGAACATTTTAGCGTTGCTTTAACCGGGTCTAGATGGACACAGATTGTTTTCAAGGTTTTTGAAATGTTATTGAAATTATTTCCCCATAACTAAGAACAGCTTGCTCTTGTCAAATGGAAATCCCTTTTGTACAGATGGAATTGTTCTAAAAGCATACTTCATCGGTTTCACTTAAAAACAAAATATTAGAGGTCATCTTATCTTTTAATGTTCGTGACAACATGTTTTGTAACAGTCACTTTTCATTGTGATGAAAATGTTCAGTTAAAATAGATAACTGTATACCAGAGGTCTTCAAACTTGGCAACTTGGCATAGCTGGCTGGAGAATTCTGGAAGTTGAAGTCCTCAAGTCCTAAAGTTGCCAAATTTGAGGACCCTGGTCTAAAGTATCTGTGGTCACTAAGAATCATCAGTGATTTGTTGATATATAAACAAATGTTGGTCATAGGAGTTAACTTCTCTATAAACATGTGTTTAAAACAAGGAAGAGCTGTGGAAATCTGATTCAATTAATGACTAACAAACCACAAAGAATGGCTGGAGAATCTCCTTGAGCAAGAGAAGCATTTCTGTAACAGGAAAAGGCTTTCGGTCCTTTTGTGCTCTGTGGAAATGCAAAGTAGGGACTTGAAAGCCATAAACAACATATTTGAATGAGAAAGTATTAAGGGAGCCATGAGAAAGTTCCAAATTTCTTTCAGAATAATATTCCCAAGATAGAGGGCAGAGACTTAGGACCAAATTATGTACTTAAACTATTAACTAACAATTTGAAGAAATAAATATGACCTTTGACCAGTGCTTGCTTGTACATTGACATTGCTGCATCTTTCTCCAACCTAATCACTTATTAAAGATAGGATTGGGAGGCTACTTTCAGGTATTCAAGATAAGTTACATGACACTTGTGTAATTAATTCATATATAGAAGGTGAGAACATGTAATTTAATGCTGATTTAAATTTAAATTTATATCCTTTTGCAATGTGGGGCCCATACTTCTCGTCTTGAACTTTAAACTGGCAGACCTGGATTGAACCCTGATGAAACATCAGCAGAATTCATGTTAGTCATAATGTGCTCAAAGGTAATAGATGAATCTCAGACTGTCATTAGAAGTCAAGCTCCACTCAGTTTAGGAAAAAGGCAAGAGCCTCCATGGCAAGGAAGTTCCAAGCTTTTAGGAGAAGGTATCAAAGTGCTTACAAAAATGTTTCCTGCTGCCTTTTCCCCCATTTGCTTCTATTGGTGTATCACTCTTATCTATCGTGAGTCTCATTTCTCACTATCATTTTTCTTACGCTTCTAATACACTTTGCCTAGTAAACATTCTGTTTAATATTTGGGAAGGTTTCTTGCCCACTTGAATATTTGGACTGGATTTAGAATGCAGCATTCTGTCCAGTGGTGGGATTCAAATTTTTTTTTACTACCAGTTCTGTGGGCGTGGCTTGATGGGCGTGGCAGGGGAAGGTTACTGCAAAATCCCCATTACCTCCCGGACCCCACTAACCTGCTTTCCAGCTCTGTTCTCCTGTGCAGGGCAACAAAAGAAGACCCAGCCAATCAGCTGGGACTCAGTGGGAGGCAGAGAATAGATGGGGGCAGGGCCAGTCAGAGATGGTATTTGCCAGTTCTCCAAACTACTCAAAATTTCTGCTACCGGTTCTCCAGAACTGGTCAGAACCTGCTGAATACCCACCTCTGGTTCTGTCACACTCAATTGACTCAGAAGTTAGTTTCATTTACTCATCAGGACCTGCACTTTTGTATATGTATTTATGTATGTTCTAAGGCTGCTGTTGCTGCTGCTGCTGCTTTCATGTCAGAAGCACTGAGGCTCTTCTGGGGAGAAAGGATTAGCCAGTGATATCATCGTTGTCCAGGAGAGTCCCATTTGGAG